ACAGTAAAATAATTGCTCTTTTTAGTCTTTGGGAAAAGAAAATCATCATCAAGTAACCCCTTATTCCAGCTGGACAATATAACCCCTCTAGATTCTCTTCCCAGTTATGAAACCATACCTAATAATCAGATCTTGAAACAGCTAAAACATTAAGTTTTATAGGAAAAAAAAAATCTGAAATACAGAATAGAATTATGAATTCTGAAAAGCAGATACAGAAAAATAAATGTGATCTGGTGTTCAACCTCTTCTGTGAAGAAAAATCCTCAATTGCAGCAAGATACTCCTTGTGGTCATTTCTGGTTTGACATTCAGTCTTCATTAAAAATTCTGTACTGACTACATTTGAAAAATCAGAAATGTGTCTTGAAAGTTTAATTGCAAATTGACGATATGAAAGGCTGTGTTGCATTGAACTCATATGATCTATGTATAACCTAGAGAAATGTTCATGTTTCTCGATGCTAGTGTGAAAAACAAGACTATCGGCAAGAGATTAGGAAAAATGTTATGTAGAAACATAAAGAGAAAATAAAGACATAACCACAGTAACAAAACTCTCCAAATACAGTAAGAAATTAGAAGTTGAAATATAAAACTATAAGAAAGCCTGTTAACTGTAATATTAAGGAAAACTGATTTAGGTCCTACCACCTACTATTGTATTGTAGGGAAGTAGGAAAGACAGTTCCCAGTGATAATTAGACAGGCTGCTGTGAGGCAATACTTTGCAAAAGCTTGTTGGAGTTTTCTTCTCAGTAGACCTTATATAAAGGTTCTCAGTGGCTATATGCTCTGTCTTATATAAAATAACTGTTGGAGGAGCAAATAAGCTTTCAATTTTTTTTTTATATATTTTTTCCTCTCAAGCAGATCAGCACTTATATAGCTATCTGGGAAATTTTAGAAGCCAGAGTGGTAGGTGAGCCTGGAAGGAAAGTAATTCTGAGAAAAATCTGTAAGAGTAATTTGTTTGCAGTACTAAAACCAGAGCTATTGGCATATCTACATAGCTATGCCAATCATCAGACTGGGATTAATATTATTTACTAATTTTGAAAATATATATATATATATATCAATTTTAATTGCTTCAGTTAAATCATTTCCATTTTATCATCCTGGGAACCATATTCCAACCAAAATTATCCTTCACTTTAGAATTTTCAGAAATGAAATAATTTAATTAAAGATGTTTTAATTAGCCACTCTGATCATAAATTAACCTTATAATTATCCTTAGACAATTAAGAGATGCATTGTTTTTCTATTGTTCTGTTAATTTGGGGGGGGGGGGGTATTCTGTTTTGTTTTAAGTAATGCAGCTTTTCTTCTCTCAGGCTAATGTCAAAGTAAATTTGTATCACTGATCTGGCTGCAAGCCCATAAGGCATAGCATCATAATACTGAACTTAAACATTTTGGAGAAATAGCATCTCAAAAAAACAGAACAGTGAAAACAAAACCTGTTTAATCCCATTTTTGTTTGCCTTCTTTGATGCTCATTAGTTTGCAAAAAAAAAAAAATCCTGTTGTATATTGGCATTTTTTTTGACATTACATACTGTGGGTAATATACAACAGCATTTTTATCACACAGCTAATATGGGTGCAGCCATATTTTAGTCACAGCAGTTCACTTGAATTGCAGTTTGCAAAAGAGTTCTAGCAAAGATTAAACAGATTTGGCAGATGACTATTTGGGGCAGAACAAAGAGTACCATTTTTTAATTATTATTTATTTAGTCAAAATGTTAATCCAGAATGAAGATTAAAAACTTTGACTCGAATCATGCTTGCAGAATAATCTGAGCTTCAGATTTTACCTCCTGAATTTATCAACCACAATTTCAGCTAGTCTAAAAATAGTCAGAGATCAAATTTGCCTGGACTTAACTACTTTATGTCAATCACTTCATGCTACTGGAAAAATATAGAGAATTTGTATGAAATCCTACACTCCAGCAACCATACTGAGTCACAAGTTGTACACAATAACGTATCATCATTAATGTGAACTACTATACCTAGTGAGGAATACAGAAACCTCACAAATTCCTACAAACCCCAAACCAGTTAAGGTTAGGATGATATTTTATCAACTTTTTGAATCAACATGGATATGCAACAACAGCGTCCTTAGACCCAATCAATCTGTAATTTTTATTGTGTCACCTCTCTGTTCCATGCTATAATCACATATCAACCATCTCCAACAATAGTGAGTTCCCTTCCTGTTTTCGATAAGCTTTCTTCCTAAGTACTGTTGCTTTTCACAAGATGCTAACTGCCAAAAATAAATAAATAAATGAATGAATGAATGAATGAATAAGTAAAACAGGCAAATAGATAGTGCAAAGGGGTACAGTCCTATGTCTGCTGACCTTCTTTGTTAAGAAAAATCCCAGGGGAAGGAATTCTGCTGGCAGCAGCGACTCTGAAAGTTTTGGACAACAGCAGTGCCCAGTCTGAAACCCTAATGGGACTGAAGGCTTCACTCACGCTGTGAAAACAGAGAGTTCCTCAGGCACTGGAACCCAACGTTACTAAAAAGCCCTGCAATTCTGTTTGGGCTCCCCTGAAGACTTAGGAAGACATGGACAGAGGCCAAACTTATTTTCCAAGTGAAAGTTGTCAGGAGAAAAGTTAAAAAAAAAAAAAAATATTCCAGTGGTGACAACATTTACAGAAGAAAATATCCTTGAACTCTCTGTATAGTAGTTTACATTATCAATTCAGTAATGCAATACCTAAATGAAACAGTACTCATTGTATAAACTCTAATGTTACCTTTGCATCTGACAGAATATGAGATAATTTGGAAGTTATTATTTCAAAATTTATATGTTGAAATTTTCTAATCTACTGCTCATACATTTCAAAATGACTTAATAATTAGCTACTTAAGTTAAATTAACCCTGAAACTTGTAGCAGTAGGTATTAAACTGCTCTTATCTATCTACTTTTTTGCAAATAAACCTCCCCATTACAGTAACAGCTGCCATTCTAATGTACCATACTCTGCTTCGATAATACCTCAATACAGTAGTTACAGTAGTGATATCAAATGACCTGAGAGCTTACTGTGTTGTCATATCTGCCTGTGTAAATGGATATCCAGAGTTCTCCATACATTTACACACTGATGTCAACAGTGTTCCAGGAGCTTGGTCAAGGAGCTTTTCATTAACGCCCCATTTCACCACAAGTGACCTGCACAGCCATTGATAAATCTCCCTGTACCACAAACATCACATATTTAAAATTGTTTTAACTTTATCTCCCAATTTTTCAGGAATGCTGTAAATGTGAGGACAGTGAAGTCATGCTAAACTAGAGTAACAATGTCAAGTGATGTTCATATAGTCACTTTGCATACAGTGTGGGTACCCATTTTTTATAATTCATAATAAACAAGAATCAATTCAGAAACTTAACATCATTAGGAAAAACACCTCAAGAGAATCAGTAGCACATCCAGTGTCAAAAGAAAATAAATATACCTTTTTTCTATGAAAACAACTTTTCATGTGAAGCATCAGTAATTTACTCTTCACAGTGGAAACAAAGCTCAAAAAAATGGAACAACCACAAAATATATATATATATATATATATATCTCAAAAGCTATGATTGCTAGTCAGTGAACAAATACCTTTAAAAACAGATACTTTATTATAAATAATATTTAGTTTCATTGCAACCTAGCATGTAGAATCAAAATGCTTCCTGTTTTGCATGATGCATGTGAAAGTTTTTACAGAAAAAAAAAAATATATATATAGACTGGTTTTAAAAATATTATTTTTATGCATATACAAATACAATGTGTTATATTTCATATATTATCAATTATGTTTAAAATTCTTCATAAATAATGTTATTACTTTTTCACCACAATTACACATAACCTGCTTTCTGTATCTCACATAGTCCTATGTCCATTCATCTGGTATATGTGTCTTAAAAACATAATAACCCAGATACTCATAGGGCTCTCATATTGTAAAGGAGTGGTAAGGGCAGCTAGATGAATTTTCTGATTATGTCGTCCTTCCCTTCTTTCCTATCAGAGGTGTTTTATCCGTGAAGATTTTCCTCCCTAATCTGCATCTGATTTGCAGTGAGCCTACAAAGGACCCCTTGTCTCAGAGTTTTTTGGTTTTTTTTTCATTGGTGTTTTTATGAAAAACTGTGATCCAGAGCAATATTTTGATATTTTCTTTCTTTGTAATGTCACTGACTTTAGATGGCCCCTGTTAACACTAGTAGACCCAGGGACTGCAAAAATCCTAAGCACTCAATAAAAATTATAAACTCTTGGTTTGGGGCTCATAAGAATATCAGGCCAGAAACTCTTGCTTCGCTGAAATATTTTTTCATGTATTATCATTGCAGAAATTTTTGCTAAAATTCAATTCACAAGGTGATGACTACATTTATAAGAATTTCATTAAAAAAAAAAAAAATCCATAAAAAAAACAACTTACCAAAATAGTGGAAATTTTGATAAACCTTTTTTCCATAATGTTAGTTTACTAAACAGTGCAAATGATGCAGGACAGATTAGTAAAACCACACAATTGGTGCTGATGAGCCAACTTCCAAGCTAAATTTCAAGAGTATTTTTGCAAACTAATTCCAGTCAAGTCCCACAATGCTCTTACAGTGCACTTTCCAGTTTAGTTTCATCCAAAACGAATCCAGTTCACCCACCTCAAGACTGCTCCAGAATATGAACCATACGTACAGTCAAGGGGGAGTATAAACAGGAGATTCAGTGGTACAAACTGAATAGTTAATACAGATGTACTTGTCATCTAGGGTCTATAAACCAATTTCCATCTTTGGAACTTCTGAGATTTGTTACTTCCTGACTTCAGGAAAATTGCTCTTAATCTTCCCACAACAAATGAAAGGAGGATGCAAGTTTAAAAGCAAGTTTATAGCATATCTCTTTACATCTTTTACCACACATGCAAAGAACTCAGAAACTCACCATATCTGTGTCTGAAACAGGTCCAAAACTGGTCACATAGATGTTAGTGAAGACTTCAGTAATACTATCTGATAAAATAAATAAATAAATAAAGTAATCACTTTAAATCTATAGCACTTCAAACTCTCTATACAAAATTATGCAACATTTTGAGCAAGTTTATGCCCTTATTTATTCCACTGAACCAGAATCCTGTTGTAAATACTTGGGGTCTCTACCCCGCTTGATTATACTGTGATTACAAAGAGGTGATCAGGCAAGAGTTTGTCCCACTGTGTAGTTCATTTCAATCAGAAGACTATACAGCTATCAGAAACTACATACATATTTCCCATATCTCTACCAGCAAATATAATCACACTGTATTGGACTGAACGAGGTAGTACAGTTCTAAACATATAATGCCTTTTTTGCAGAGGTATTATCTCTGTTTTTGCAGATAATTCCTATTAAAGCTTTTCTAGTTCAAGGCTGTTTTCTTCATCCTGAACAGTTTTTTTCAAAGCCAAAGACAAGAAAGAGGTTACAAAACAATTACAGACTACACCAAACGTAACACTTGACTGTGTTCTGTATTTGAATTGGGTATTTTTTAAGTGGCATGCTTTAACATAATGGTTCTTTCCCTTGATATGTGATGGTCTTGAGATACTGCTGCAATACTATAAATACTGTTAAAAAAAAAAAAAAAAAAAAAAAGTGCTTCCAATCATTGGAGCCAGACAGCCACGAAGTCAGAATATTAAATATTGTACTGCAGGGAAAAATAATTGCTGAGTTTTCTGTCTTCAGTTTTCAATTAGACTCAAAACTGAATGATATTTGCTAAGAGGGATAGAACACGCAGGAAATTTCTCACAGCCATTGCCAGCTGCTGTCTGTATTCAAGACAGTCAACACGAGGAATTCTCTGCCTTAAAGCCAGTTGCTGGCTGGATAAGAAATATTTGAATACAACTAGCTGCACTTTGACTCAACCCAGAATTTTCCATTCCTAAAAAAAATACATCCCTGTGACATGACTGATCCTGGTATTGTATTATAACTTCTATATTTAAGCATCATTTAAAATGGATGGCTAATAGTTTTTACATTGCTAAAAGCTACCTTTTGACAAATATGTGGCACAGACAGATTTTATGTGTAATTGTACTGAGGCCAATAATCACTGCCCTCTATTGGAAGAAATCAGCAGTACTCACCCACGACTGGAGAAGCTCTACCAGCCACCAGGCAAAGGCAAGACTGTTGTGTCTATGTGTGGCTGCACAGAGAGTAGTGTATTATCAAAGGGATGTAGCCGCACCCAAAGCAGAGATGGAGGTGATACAGTGCTTTCAGTGAACTTCTGGAGCATGATGAGAGCACACTCCCCCACTTTCACTTTTAAAGAAACTTGAATTTGCTTCCTTAGACCAACACTAGACACATATTCTTTACAATATGAGACTTGGTAAAGCCTTTCCTCCAAAAAGAGAACCTTCTTTCCAGGTCTGTGATTGCTTTTCAAGCAAATAAATAAAGGCTGACTGTTACTATGTGTCGTTCAGGCACTCTGAAAGTTCAGTAAGCACATTTTCCCTGAACATCTTGAGAATCATTTATTTGTGTGACAGAGATCTCAGTAATTTATCCTGCAGCATCTACAAAAAAAAAAGCAGAGTTGATTTCTACTCCAAAGAGTTTACAAACTAATTTTAAGTCAATGGACAACAGAAAGTGCTGTGTCTGCACCATTATTAATATTCACCAAACATAAGGTATGTGTCTGGCTGAAGTTTAACACTGAAACAACAGGTACAGTTCAGAAGACTAGTGACTGCACAGTGCCTGTGGGAGACTCTCCAGAAAAAGAATTATTCTCTCCAAATGGTTACCTGGCACAGGGTGAGATGCAGTGGAGAAGTGACAAGACAGACTACTCTTCAGGGGGTAAAACAATGCTGCAGGGACTAACTGTGAAATTTGGCCTATACTGTAATGACAACACACAATCTTAATTACAATTCTACAAAAAACCGTGCTGTTACAAATATATGACTGACAATCAAGTATCCCAATGGCAAAGAACCAGGGTTAATTTCAATTATACTGGTATAATCTGAGTGAACTCTGTCTGAGGCAAGAAAATCACTTGGCAAATCTGAATCTGTTTCCTTTCCCTCAACCTCCCCTTGTCTTCCCCCCACCCCAAAAAAAAAATAATAAAAAATTGATGAAGCATGGCTCTCTTGTAACTTTACCCTAATGATACCAGTTGTTTGCATCTGACATATTATTTGTCTTTACAATTCGCATGTAGTAAACTTGAAGGACATAAAATCTTCATGTTTGCCTTGCATTTTAAGTTTTTATATTTAAAATAAATTAAAAAATAAATCCTATATCCAATCACATTATTTCTGTTTCTGGATACTTCTGGATCAATCCTGCCATCAGAAATGAGCAAAGAAGACAGAGCTAAAGACAAATTGACTGAAATTGTTGAATTGTTATTACAACAGTCTTTAGATTCCTCCTGTTGGTGTGCATTAACCACTTCAAATCAGGGATCCTAATGATCCTTGAGTCAAGGACCAAGACTGAGGGAGAGGAGAAGGAACGGATGGGGGAAAGAAGAGGCATGCTATCCAGAGATTCTCAGCTGTAAGAGCTTCATTTTAGGTCATCATAATTAAGACAAGTATTTCAATGCATATAAAAAGTACTGGGGCAAATTCATCCCTGATAGCCTCAGGAATGAGAATGAATACGAATTAATCATAACCATTATTTTCTGTCTGCTAAAACTGCCTGTAAGCCATCATAGCTCTAGGTAGTGGTGACAGCAATAAGTTTTAACGCAACCAGTTGCTTTTCCCTGAAGTGAGGGCTCATCCTAACTGCAGGCACTCCACCAGGCTGCTTCTCCTCAGGCGAAAGTCACATTGCAGCTGAGAATGAAGGGAGTGAGCAGAACATCTTGAAACAGGGTGTGAAGAGAACAAGAAAAGCTGGATAGTTACAACAGATGAGAAGACTGAGGGAAAAGGAAGGATAAACAAAAACAGAGAAAAAGAAGATAAAAAAAAAAAAAGACTGAAGAACAAAAAAGAGGAACTGGCAGATTCTTTTCTGTCTCCTCTCAACATTCTGCATATTTTATATTTCTATTCATATCCTACATACAAAGAAAATGGTCCTTAAGAAGCATAAATGTAATAAATCTTGAATTATTCCCATTATAATCTGTTAATATTAGCAGACTGAGCCTTGTGCCTCTTCATTTATTAGTTTACTTACTGTTACAACAAAGATTCATCTGAATTACAAATTTGAATGCAGTATTTCGTAATCATTATCTATGTAGAAGAAAAGAGGATACTTTTTTGCAACAAATATTCTAGTTTTCACTTTGAAAGACTACATGTTTTTCAAATGAAATCTGAATTAGAGCATATCATTTTGTCCCACTAGTAACTTACTAGTTAAGTAAGGACAGTTTCAGAAGTCTTTCTGATGAGAATTCATCCAGCAGGCACCACAGCTACAGGCTTTATATAACTCACATTCTGTTAAGAACAGCACTAGTTATCTCAGTCCCTCTTAAATTGCTGGAGATTCAAACAGTTCTGTATCATAAGTACTTCTGCAAAAGCCAAAGGAATGTACTCAGCTAATAAATGTTCAATGCAACATGCATTTGTGTACATACCTACAGTTTATTTTTGTGAGAAACAAATAAGGTCAAGGTTTTTCCAGTATCATTATAAAGTCTGTTTCTTAAATTGGTATGTCAACACCTCACTGAAAGGCCTGATTTTTGAAAGTGCTTAAATCAATGGAAGCCTAGTGCTTTTGAAAAAGTCCAGTTTTTAAAGAACTGTTTACTGGGAGGAGTGGTGGCTAACATTTATATTTGTGATCTCTTAAGTTATTCTGAATCATTTCCTTTGAAGATTGAACGATGAACCGGGAATGGGAAGGGGTAAAAATGTAGTTTTCACTTCTGATGCTCCCATTAAGAGGAAAAAAAAATCTCAGGTATAGAATATGATATATAGATGCCACCATTACATAGACTGCCCTGAAATTCAGCAAATATAGCTCAGCTAAAATAACTTTTTTTTTTTTTTTTTTTTTAATGAAAGCAGTCATAGCTGTTAGAAGATATATATAGCCTTATCCGACTTAGCTTAGGCTAATTTCTCAGAAGACAGAAGCCAAAAGTAGCTGAAAAGAAATGGACAGTTAAGAATAAAGAGAGGAAGAAACGCCCATACTAAAAAAAAACAAACAATCAAAAACAAACAAACAAACAAAAAACACACACAGTAAATGCAAGAACTATTAAGATCATGTTTCAGATTATGTTGATTCTCAAACACTGGTTTCTCCTGATTTCCTTTCCTTATTTGATCTGTCATACTATCAGTAGTGAAAAAAAAAATCAAGAAATTTAAAAAAGCATTAAATACACCAAACTGCAGAAGACTTATAGATCATATGTATCCTTAGCTGGAAGGTTTATTGTGTGCGTGAATGACATTTAGGATTTTATAAACATTGATTATAATAACCTCTCTCTGAAGACAATAATTCTACTATCTGCGTTTTTCCATACTTGGGAAGCTGAAGCAGAAGGATTAAGCAAAGTATAAATAATACGAAATATAGGTGTTTGCCAAATCTGGATTTAGCTGTCCAACATTAAATATCCACATTGAAAAATGCGTACTGACTTGTCAGAAATTGTAAAATGAGTTCAGAGCCTAGCTGGGGTTGGTATCAGTACCTTTGTCCACTTCACTGCACCAGCTCTCCTGTTCTTGGGATGCCCTCTCTGGTGGTATGATATACTACCAATGTGTTCCTTAGCAGAAGAGCTGGCTCAGCTGAAGTAAACTACTTGGTAGAGTATTTGCAGTGGCTGAAATGTAAATCAATCACAAGTTGAGTAATGCAGATGGTCAGAAAAGTCATATGAAAAGGTTCCTCATCAACATTTACTAGTTGTCAAAAGCAGAAATTTCCACAGTCAATTCAATTTTGAATGAGATCCTTTGGAACACCACTTACCAGGCAGTTT